AGAACTCCTCCCATTACCATCTAGAAATTCTGTTGTTGGTTGCAGGTGGGTCTTTGCTATCAAAGTTGGTCCTGATGGTACTATTGATTGCCTCAAAGCTCGCCTTGTAGCCAAAGGCTATACCCAAATTTTTGGATTGGATTATGGTGATACTTTCTCTCCAGTGGCAAAGATGACTTCTGTTCGTTTATTCATCGTCATGGCTACACTTCAACAATGACATCTTTATCAACTATATGTCAAAAATGCATTCCTTAATGGAGATTTGCAAGAAGAAATTTATATGGAGCAACCTCCCGAATTTGTTGCTCAAGGGGAGTCTTTTTTATTGGTATGTCATCTTCGCAAATCTTTATATGACCTAAAACAGTCTCCTAGGGCCTGGTTTGACAAATTTAGTAGCGTTGTTCAACAATTTGACATGACTAAAAGTGAGGCAGACCACTCAGTCTTATACTGTCACTCAAGTGTTGGATGTGTCTATTTGATAGTGTATATTGATGACATTGTTTTTACAGGCAGTGACCACCATGGCATCTCCCAGATGAAACAACACCTTTGTCACCATTTTCAAACCAAAGATTTTGGAAAACTCAGATATTTCTTGGGTATTGAGGTGACACAATCTACAGATGACATTGTTATATCTCAAAGAAAGTATGCATTGGATATTTTGGAGGAAATTGGGTTGATGAATTCAAAGCTTGTTGACACACCCATGGATCCTAATACCAAACTCCTGCCAAATCAGGGGGAGCCTATGTCAGATCCTGAGCAGTATAAAAGATTGGTTGAAAAATTAAATTATCTTACAGTTACTCATTCTGACATTTCCTTTGCAGTTAGTGTGGTGAGTCAATTTCTCAATTTTCCATGTCAAGATCATTGGAGTTAGGGGTGTCAAAGTGAGCCAACCCGGCTCACACGGGTTGGTTCACCACGGGTTGAACTGAAAATAGATGAGCTCAACCCGGCTCAACCCACCACGGGTTGGTGGGTTAGGTGGGTTGGCTCATTAACCCATATTTTTTTCATTTTTTAAATTATATAAAAACTTCGGATGTAGAAACTTATGTTTTCTTCCTTTCTTTCTCAACATCAGTGTCTTCGTTATTAACTGAAATTGACTCATTGGGTTTTTCATTAATAATAAAATCATCACCAATACAATTTACTTTGACGCTTTGATGTATTGTTTCAGATTCCATACTTTAAATTAATTTAAAAGAAAGAAGTAAAAAATTCATATATTAAAGAGATATACGTATAAATCAATAACAAACAACAAATAATGTATAGATGCTACAATTTTCAAATAAAGATTCATCAATCCAATAGTTTAGGTTATGAAACAAATTTTTACCTTTGAAAGCAATACAATGGTTTAGGTTATGAAACAAATTCTTACCTTTGAAAGCAATACAATGGACATGGTGTAGTGGTGCGGTGGACAGATAATAAGACAAGTGACTAAAGTGCAACGACAAACGTAATGGTGCAGCGAACAACTGATAACAAGTTTAAGTGAGGGTTTGACTTGTGGCGACAACCAACAATGTAGGGTAGAGGTAAAACAGGATAACATCAATTAGGATTACTAAAGTATTATAATTATTTTAAAAATTTAAAATAAATGATTAATTAAGGTTAGTATGTTATTATAATTATTTTTAAAATTTAAAATTAATGGTGGGTTGTGGGCCAACCCACCATAACCCAGCTCGAACCCGTTTAACCCGTGGGTTAAGTGAGCCGGGTTCATTTTTAGCCCATAATCGGTAGAAATAAAAAAAATCGAACTCAACCTGGCTCGAACCCGTGGTGAGCCGGGTTGGCTCACGGGTTAGAACCCATATTGACACCCATAATTGGAATGCAGTCATCCGTATATTAAAATACATTAAAGGGTCTCCTGGAAAAGGTTTGTTGTATGGTTCCAATAACCATACAAGAGTTTTTTGCTATTCAGATGCTGATTGGGCAGGATCTCCCTCTGATAGAAGATCTACATCTGGGTATTGTGTCTCCATTGGTGGTAATTTGATCTTGTGGAAAAGTAAGAAACAAAGTGTTGTGACAAGATCCAGTGCAGAAACAGAATATAGAGTTATGACCTCAACTTCCTGTGAACTTGTTTTGCTCAAGCAATTGCTTAGAGAGTTACAATTTGAAGATGTCACTTAAATGACACTTGTGTGTGACAATCAGGTTGCTCTTTATATTAGCTCTAATACTGTCTTTCATGAGAGGACCAAACACATTGAGATTGACTATCATTTCATTCAAGAAAAGATTATATTTGAAGACATCAAGACTGAGTTTGTTATAACTCAAGTTATCAGTTAGCATATATTTTTACTAAGTTTTTACGGGGACCTAGAATTGATTATCTTTGTAGCAAGTTTAACACATACGATTTGTATGCTCCAGCTTGAGGGGGAGTGTTAGATATGTTTAGTTATTAGTTGATATTGTTGAGATATTGCTAGATATTGATAATCACAATATCAAACAATATCTTCTATTTGTATTCAGTTACTCTTTTTAGTTGTACCTCTCTTTATTATAAATACATTGTCCTATGTGTGGTTAAGATACAAGGGAGATTAACCCTATACAGTTTTTCCTCTATATTCAACAAGGTGCATGGATAAAAGGGAGACCTCCTCCTCACCTTTCACTTTAAATTTTCTTAGCATTTTTATTTTTTAAATATTAGAGACTCATTTTCGCACTTTTTTATAGGGTCACTATATACACCTCCTTTTTTAAGATCACCACCTTTTTTTTCTGAAAAAAAAAATACTTGGACATATAGGATGGTTACATGGGCTGCCCAAAGGTGTATGACACTCTTTTTTCATGTCTTACACCCTTTTTTTTGAGAGAAAAAAGTTTTGGATGTAGGATTGGTAGGTTTAGGACAACCCAAAAGGAAACACACCTTTTTTTAATGTTCTCCACACCCTTAAAGACATTTTTGGTGGGTTAGGACGAATTTAACATATTTAGGCCATGAAGACTCTTAGCCTTTAGGTTTAAGTTAAGTTTATGTCTTATTTTGTAAATCTATCTAGGTCTCTTCCCCAAAAACATATAAATAGAAGATTTTCTCTATTGTAATTAAGTTAAACATTTATGACAAGTGTGTGAGGTTTCTTAGAGTGTCACATCTCTTTGAGTGTCTTATCTTGAATCTTGGTTGACAACCACCACTTATTTAGGGTGACTCATCTCCTAGTAGCGTGTTAACACTCCACCATTACCAATTTTTCTCTTAATCTTTTCTTCTTTATTTCTTTACACCATTTAGGTATCCAAGGGGATGGTGTATTTTTCCAGTTTGTGTCTTTATTCTTTTTTAGATTCTTTCCATCTTCTTCTTCATTCACAATTTCTGGAAATGCACTTTCACACCTAGATAGACAACTATTTTAATGTTAGTGAGAATTTTTCTTGATTTTACTTACTTTATTGTTTAAATTTCGTACTTTATTTTCTTAAAATTTTGCATCTTACTATATTATATATTAATTTATATTTTTCATTGATGTTAACACAATCTCAACTAAAATTATTTTTCATTAACATAATTTGGATTTATTTTTTTACCCATATCTATTAGTAAATAAATTAGGATTATTTATTAGCCAACATTGACATAATTATTTTTTTTAATTTTTGAGAGTAAAAAATTTTCCTTGACACTAATTAAACTATTTAACATTATAAGAAATTTTTAATCAACATTAATATGATTATTTTTCAATTTATTAACATTATTTATATGTCGATATAATTTTACAGGTAATATTCTTTTTAGAATTTTCTCAATCATGATGGTATTCTTCTATAGATTAGATAGATTTTTTAATGACTTTTAAGATTTTTTTATCAACATGACTAATATCATTTAATATTTTATATTTGACAATAATTAAAATTTAATAAATCTGAATTATCTTTAAAATTTAATAATTAAACAATTTAAAATAAAATTAATATATAATATTTGCTTATCATTTTTATTTATCTAAACAATAAATATATATATATATATATATATATATATATATTCTTTAATGAATTTTAAATTTCTTTAATGAATTTTAAACGTAAATTTAGACATTTAAAAAAGTAAAAGTAATTGGTGGAATGAATGAAATAAAAAATTGTATATTACGTTAAATTAAGAAAAGTTAAGATATAAAAAAATATTTTAATTAATAAATTATGAATTATTATTATAAAATATTTTTATATAATTCATTTAATTCTGTTACTTTTTCATTCATCTAAATAATTAAATGAGAAATGCGTGCTTCTTTATTTGCTAGAACCTAATTCGCCTAAGGAACGAGTGATATTTTATTCTTTTGTTTACGACCTTGTATAAGTCCATGTCTCAATACAATGCACCACGAAAACTTTCTCTTTACCAGTGTTTGTGATGGTGTTGTATGTAAGCAATGGTGCAGTGGTTAATCTAATAACTCTTGGCAGAGTAGTTTTCTAAAAGCAAATTTTCAGTTATTTGATTTTTTAACAAGGCATCTTGCAGGAATGCACACTGATATAAATGCAACAAAATCATAGTAATTTAATGGGTTTATGGATTTTTGAACTGCAATTTCAAAGGGTTATTTTTTATTTATTATTTTAACATTAAAATTAGTTTGAAAAGTTGGGATCTCTATAACTAATTTGCTTTTTTCTTTATATTTTTTCTTCTAAAAACGTTTATTAGAATAGATATATTTCTGAGTTATATTATTGAAGAGCACAGCATAATTTGATTTTGATGTTGCTATACTATTTCTAGCAACAACTGATCTCTCAGAAAAAATATACCTGGTTTGTACATGAAACAAAATCTTGCCTCTATTTTTCACTACCAAAATGTAATGCAATCTCAGACCAAACCAATCTGATTGCAACTATGAACATGTTAGTATATGTGGCTTACTGAGATGGTAAGCTAAACCCCATCATCACTCATCTCATGTTTTGTTTAGAAGAGAAGCCAGATTGCGAAGCTCCTCAAATGCATGCATTGTTTCTGCATCAAATCCTCCAGCAAACTGCATTGACAAAATAACTAAAGATTACTACATGCAGTTATATTTAGAAATAGTGAAGAATGATTCTAGAAAAAGTACAATAGAGTAGTAATCTATATACATTGTTAGTATAAACATTTAATAAGGTCAGTCTTATTGGATGTTTGTGAGGAAATGTTTTAAACTGATAAGGTATATCAATTAAAATCTTGATAATAGTGAAGCAACATGGAATTCACATTGCGTTGGAGGCACAACTTAAAAAGGATGTACTACTAAGATACTGAAGTAGATTAGAGGACAAACCTGATGGATTCTGAAAGCAAATCTCACTCCTTGGAGAAGCATGTAATCCATTGCTGGATCTTTTTCTAATGCTGACTTTGCTTGAAGTTCCATAGCTACCCTTTTCATATACTTTTTAGCCAATTTAACAGAGCTTAGCTTTATCTGCAAAAATAATTGTTGAATAAAATATTAAGTGGACTTGTATAGAAAACTTTAAAGAAGCAATGTCAGAGAGAATTTGACAATAATCTTTCTAGATAGATGTTAAAAACACTCACTTGCCAGCCATATCCTTAATTTATAGACACCACATCAATAACTAACATGCTTAATTTCATTTTGATAGAAATGGATTATTTACTCTCTTTTTTTCCTGTTCTGCAGAACCAATTCCTTATACCTGTGATGAGGATTATATGGTAAAGCCCCGTTAAACAAATATAGGATTCAAAACAAATACTAATATATGTTATATGTTATGCTCTCATACCATATGTTAAGCTCTTATGTTATATGTTACATGTTATAAATTGTACATTTTGTAAGGATTGATGCACATTGCACAGATGGTGTACCTTGCCAATAGTTCCATTGTCAAGCATCCATTCTATGGGAATTTGAAACTCCTTGCAGTGACGCATTAATGACTCTCTTGTGCGAAGAAGGTTATGAACTGTACGCTCCATCCTGACAATGTAACACAAATATGTAAGTGTCTTGCAAGACAACTAAATTTAGGACCTCAAACACGTTTTTTGTCTTCTTTCAGGGGCGATATAGAATTTTTTTGGATATTTAAGTAGCTTACTTTTCTGACAATGCAACCATTTTCTTCAGAGCAATATCACAAGGTAGCCGAGGATCATCCTTGTAGGAGGAAACTTCAGATTCTAATTTATTCAAATCTTGATACCCAAATGCTGCTTCTCTTAATATGTCGGCTTTCTTCTCTGGCCAATCAAAATGCTTGAGGACTGCCCTCTCATCCACCTTTGAAAGCACAAAATCATATTTCTATTAGATAATAAATAACAATCACAAATTTCAATTCTGTGATGGATAGTTTGAACCTTTTACAATAGCTTATTTGTACATGGCATAATTACAAGCTGCACAGGTCATAAGAAATAAAAACTTACAAGGAAACACAGTTCATCATCCAGCCACTTCACAAATGCCACTACATCTTCTATGTTCTGATAAACAGCATTGTTCACCTCTCTAATCAGTGAATTCACAAATTCTCCCTGAGTCTCAATATCTGCCTTTATCTGCATATCAAGAGGGAGTTATTGGCCATGTAGACGTGAGGCAAATCATTTAATAAAGTAAATTGCAAAAGTAAGCATATATGTGTGCTTAAATTATACCGGAAAATTAATTATGCATGTTCTAGCATCAGTCATTCGTAAAGTCTAAAATAAGTCTGAAGTTATGTGTATAAAATGGAAAGCTACTCACAGCAAGCAAGTGTGATGAACGGTTTTCAATTTCTCCAATCATGCTGCTACGAACATCAGCAACATCCGGTGCATCAGAGAGTCCTCCATTTGAAGAATCCTTTCTAGAGTCTCTCTTCATAAGTGAATGGTACAATTCCACCACTTGTGGGGCTCGTTTCACTGTTGCCGTGTTACTTCTTGATCCAAAATTCATAGGAGGTGGTGGAGGAGGTGGAGGTGGGGGAGGTAGAACTTGAGCTGAACTTTCCTGTTTTATTTTGTGGGAAATAGAACATGAAGGCCTTGGAGGGGGATTAGCAATGCGTAGGGCCCTCTTCTCAACATCTGAAGAAACCAAAAGCTTGTTAGTTTCTTGGCAATTGGCAAAATATTGTGGTCTTTGGACAATCTCCAAACCAGATTGTTGAACCGACAATGACACTGATTCCTTTTCCATTTCTTTTGAACAGACAAAACAATCAGACTGTCTTCTCTTACTCAAAACAACCTCTTCCTCTGAGTAGTTTGATCCACTGATAGAGTGTCTTCTTCGAGGACTTGCCCCTACAACATCTGATTCAATCCAATTTTTCTCAACGAGACTGCCTTGGCACTCTACTTGTGATGTTATGGGCCACTTTTTTGGCTTCTTCATCATGTTGAACCTATTTGCACTGCCACAATTTAAGTACCTATTGGCTTGATCAGAGAAAGAACTCACACAATCTCCACTACTTCTCAAAACTGTGTGAGGGCTGGATGGCTTATCAGAATCCAATTCTGAGCATGTGTTCTTCAACTCGTTTCTTAAACATGAATTCACCCACCTCAAGTAGGCAAGCTCTTCAACCTCATTCAATCTGCTTATCTGTAAACCTTCCACTTGTTTGCATAGGTCTTCATTCGTGACCCTCAGCAATACTGCCTCGGCTTTAATTTTGGCAACAACATCACTCTGGTCACAAAAGGGAAAGGCAAAAGTTAGCAAAACATGAGGTTCATATTCCAAGAGAAAAATATGCAACCAAAATTTATTGGTGAAACGAAAATACAAAAGGAGAGATTAATGACACTAGCAAAAGGTACACTACATCTTTAGATTAAGAAGCTCATATTCTAAGTAGAGAAAAATATGCAAAACAAACTAATGAGCAAAGGAAAATTGGAATCTGAAATACTTATAATTTTCCATCTATTTGGTAATGAATCTGAGTGCATTAAGTAATGAAGCATTCTTGCATAATTTTTAAATTCAAACTAATTAATTCGGACTAAAGGTCTTATTCATTCAATAAACACTTTTAGAAAAAGAATATATCTACCCATAAACACTAATAAGAGATAAAGTAAATTAAAATTCTCTCATAAATTGAGATCAGCTTGTGTTCTTTAATTTTAATTGAAATTCTCTGATTTAACTTCAAAAATTGTATTAATGAATTGTAGGAGAATTTTAATTCACTTTACCTTCTTCTCGTCATAAGTGAAAATTCATGCTAACATGATCACACTATCAGAAAGTAATGAAGCACCACGTCTTTTTAATAGTTCCAACCCAACAATCCCCCAAATGAAACATAAAACATGCAAGATATTTTAATTTATCATAAAATTCAAATAAGCCAAATTCAGAAAACAACCTCAGAAGATTTGTTAGGACAAGCCAACTGTGCCTCAAGAGAAGAAAGCCTGCAAGTGAGGTTCCTCTTCTGCATCTGCAGCTCCTTATTCAGCCTCCTCAACTCCACAACTTCCAGTTCAAGATTCTTCCATTTCACTTCCTTGTGCTGCTCTTCTTCCCCTTTCACTTCCTCACAATTCAAGGCAGCCAATTGCTCAGTGAGAGTGGCCTTCTCTTGTTCCAACAAACCAACCCTCTTCACAACCTCATCCACCTCACTCACCCTCTTCCTACACTCTGTCAGCTCAGCATTCAGCTTGCACTCCCTCTCCTTAGACTCTTGCAACAAGCCCCTCATGTGATCCAACTCAGTGAACAAATCAGTGGAAGATTGTCTCCTATGAGTTGGGAATGCATGTGGATGAACCTGAGCGGGGTTGATTGAACATGACAAGTCACCTATGAGGGACCGCTTCACTCTGGAATGAGAAGGCACAAAAGGGTTGCTGTTGTTGTTCTTCTGGCTTGTAACAACATTTTCCGAGATTGTTGTTGAAGATGCTATTGTTTGTTTTTTGTTGGCAAAGGGTTTTGCTTTTTTGTCAGCAGAGAATCCCTTCACAATGTGAGCACCCCACAACCTGGTTTTGGAGCTGTTGTTGTTGGGGATAGTTCCCTTGGTGTTTTGAGGCTTTGGGGGTTGGTTTTGATCAGAAAATTTTGAAGCTTTGGACCTGTTCTCTGAAGGGTTTTCTTTTTCTTCCCTCATGGTGTGGAAAGTGCACAAACAACATAAATTCGTTTGGAGCTAAGAAAGAAAGTATTTCAACAATGCGGGTTTGGTTTTGAAGTTAAGCTAAGAAAAATGAGAGGCCATTAAGAAGAGGATGTAATGATGCATAAAGAAATGGGAAGCTTTATTTTGTGATTTTGAAAGTTTGAATTTTGAAATGTGTAAGAGAGAGAGAGTAAAACATTGAAGTGTGTGAGAACTACGAGGACGGAGCCTGAGAACAGGGAAATGTAACGGTCGATTTTTGGCGTCTTGGGGCTCACTTTTTTGGCCTTTTGCTTGTCTATGCTCAAGACATCGTACGTGCAATAAAAGTTGACTTTCTTTTAAAAGAAAATGGAGCACCACACATTTATGAATAAGAGGAGTATTTAATTATACGTTTTAACTGTGATTATTATTACATAAGTTATCAATATAATTGAAGTGTATTTATTAAAAAAGAGTTTTCTATTTTTCATTATTATTATTAAAGAAAAATGGTGGTAAACTTTCTATTTTTCACATTTTTTTTAAAATTGATTAAAAGTCATTCTCGAATAATAAGATTTACTGGAATTAAAAAATATTCTTTTTTTAACTAAACTTTTTCCTCTTACTAAATGACTCGAAAAACAACTTTTAAATAAAGGAAAAAGCTAGAAAAGCATTGATGAAAAACAGTTTTAAGCATTACCTGTTGCATTTGATAAAATATAAATGAAAGCAGACTTAAAATTTCTTAAAAACATAAATTGTGAGATAAAATTTATATGCAACTAAAAAATGCTGAAGATAAAATATTACAGTAATTTTGTAAATTCCTGCTTATGCACATATGAGTCGTATAATAATTTCAAAAATAAATGAGATGCTTTTATATGTTAAGTTTGAATTAGATAAGATGGTTTTGAAATTAGATTCAAAGTTTTAAAAAATTCCAAACTTTTTTATCTTTAGCTTAATTGTTTTTTTATTTGTTCAGTTTTTTAAATTTGATTTTCGTGACATATATTGCTATCATGAAAAATTTACAACAATTTTATTCCTAGAAAATGCATACAAAGCATGAGAGGGTAATACTTTTGTAATATATATATATATATATATATATATATATATATATATATATATATATATATATATATATATATATATATTATTGATATCAATTTATGATAAGATAACAATCAACATATATCGATTGCACTAAAAATCAATACAATGGGTAATTATAATGAATTATTTATCAATCAATTTATAATGTAAAGGTTTACATATATTTTTTTACATGATTTTTTTCCATAGATTTTAAAAATAATTATTTTAGAAAAAAAATTCTACTTTTTTTATAATTAATATAAAATATTACCAAATAAATATATTTTCTACAATTCACTTTTTTTAATTTTACCAAAATTTTTTAGTGTAAATATGTTAGGAATCATAATAACAACATAAAACTCATAACTAGAATAAAAAAAAGAAAAAAGAAAAAGAAAATAAAATAGACAATAGATAATAATGAAATTTTATTATAAGAAAAAATTACAATATATCTCTTTAATTTTAAGGAGAAAATAATAATATATTTTATAAGAAATAAAATAACATAATTATTGTATAATGCACTACCAAAAAAGAGAAAGAAGTGATTTGGGGTGATTTCATAAGGTAAATATTTTCCTCTTTTTATAACAAAGTAAGTACCAACATAAAATTTCTTCAACATGAGACTTCTCTTCCACTCTCCTACGTAAAGATTTAATCAAATCTTCATCATATATTATTATTTCATTTCATATTGTTAATTTTTCCAATATACCTTCAAGAGAACCAAATCTTTAAACTTGTTACATGTTTTGTCCTAGAATGCAAGACAAAATTCTTTGCAATGTACAAGACACTATAATTGTCACAGTACACAACAAGCTTTTGTTGCTTGTGCTTGAATTTCTCCATTAATATTTTTAATCCATATAATTTTCTCACATGTTTGATGGTTTCCATGTACTCAACTTTTGTATTAGGTAGAGTTACAACATCCTTTAACTTGGATAACGACTGTCTCTCCAACAAGGGTAAACATGTCAATATCACCTACAAAACCTTAATAAACATATCGTTCTGAACCTTTGAAACATAATGTAACATCCAATGTTACTTTGATAGGGATTTTCTTAATAACACTCATGCTCTCCACCATGATTTGTCATGAATCTATTAACTGCTTTCATTACTTATGCAATGTTTGGTCTTGTACCAATCATGATATCCATAAGACTATGCTAATAGTTACACCCTTGCATGTTGAAGCACCACAACGCCTTCAGTAAGTAATTCTTCTGATAAAGGTAAATCTTCCTATCTTTTATGTCTCAGTGAATTTGCATTCCTAAAATCTTGTTTGTTGATCCTAGTTCTGTTGGAAAATTAATAATAATAATAATCCTGATTTTGATTCTAACGATCAAACATAAACGTAATCCCATACTGATAAACATGTTGTAAACTGAATGCGAAAGCGTACCTGAATTAGCCATAATGATGATGTCTTTGTAGAGCACTATATTGATCTTATGGTCTTCCACCTAAAGAGCACCTGTATTTCCCTCTTGATTTTCTCTCTTGATGGGGATAGAAAGAAATGAACGGGACTGATACTTACGTTCTGTGTGTGTGCTCCCAGAAGGGGACCATGACCCCTTAAAATAACCAGAATTAGGTTAATTACTTAAGTTTTAGTATTTCTAATTTGGCCCCTCATCAAATTAGAAATTGCTTTATGGTCTCTACACAATTTTATTTTCATAACATATGCCTTTAGCCAAACTTTTTAATTTAGTCAGATCACTTTATTATTTAGCTTAATAAATAATGACCCTAACACATTTAAATTGTGTATCATATATATACATGACCCAAAATTTGCCAACAATCTCCCACTGGTCACAAATATATATGTCCTTACAACCTTACAAATGTGTTAGACTTTATGAGCTCAAAATTACCATTATATTCCTTTAGCATACTTCAAAAGTCATGTCCATTAATCATATCAAGATATAGAACCAAACCAGTTTTTCATTGCATCATTGCAACTAAAACCAACAATGATTACTCATCCTAACATAACCAAATGACATAGATTCATCATGAAATGTATAACATGAAAAATTACGTGAAGATGATCTGTACACGTCTATTTTCAACTGGTCCAAACTTTAACTTATCGAGATCGATATAATATCCTTAATGTACAAAGTGTAATGAATGAACGAAAAAACCGCATATCTATAGATAACCAAATATGTCCAAAAATCAATGTATACATATATGAAATTAAACATAGAACATAAAATATATGAAAGTGACTAACTCCCACTAAACCACAAATTCCTCAAACTGTAAAACACCCATGTGAGAAACATGCTCATGAAAGACCTTGGGCGGAAGTCCTTTAGTTAGAGGATATGCTATCATGAAGTTTGTCCTTAAGTGTTCTATGAAAATCTGTCCACTTTGTATTCTTTCCTTAGCAATACAGCTGATTTATTGTCACAATATAACTTAAGTGGTCTTTCAATGCCTTTCACAATTTACAGCCCTGTGACAAAATTTCTCAGCCATATTCCATGATTTGATGCCTCATAGCATGCTACAAATTCTTGACATCCTGCAAAATCTGAGTCAGAAAACCCAACGATCTCCAACTGGTCTGACCTCTTGTATGTGAGCATATAATCTTTTGTTCTCTTTAAATATCTTATGACCCATTTTGCTGCTTTCCAATGGTCCATTCTTGGATTGCTTAAATATCTGCCTAGAACTCTAATTATGTATGCTATGTCTGGACACGTACATACTTGGACATACATCAAACTCCCTACAGTTGATGCATAGGGGATCTTTTGCATTTCCTTAATTTCCAAATTCCCCTTTGGGCACTGATTAAGACTAAACTTGTCTCCCTTAGCAACTAGAGTATCCCCGGATTTACATTCATGCATGCCAAACCTTTTAAGAATTTTTTCGATATAACTCCTTTGTGATACTCCTAAAATACCCAGACATGGATCTCGGTGTATCTGAATTCCTAATAAAAAGACACATCACCAAGATCTTTCATTTCGAAATTCTTTGATAAAAATTTCTTGGTTTCGTGCAATATGCCTATATCATTAGTGGCAAGTAGAATGTCATCAACATACAAGATCAGAAAAATATACTTACTCCCCTTAAACTTGTGATATATACAATCATCAACAATATTCATCTCGAAACCAAATGAGAGAATTACTTGATGAAATTTGTAGTACCATTGATGAGATGCTTGTTTTAGTTCATAAATGGATTTTGTCAGTTTGCAAACCATATTCTTTGAATCTCTCTGCACAAAATTTTCTGGTTGTACCATATAAATCGTCTCATCAATGTTGTCATTGAAAAACGCCGTCTTGACATCCATTTGATGAAGCTCCAAATCATAATGTGCTACAAGAGTCATGATTGTCCTAAAAGAGTCTTTCGATGAAACTGGAGAGAAAGTCTCTTTAAAGTCAATTCCTTCCTTTTGGGTATAGCCCTTAGCTACCAGACGAGTCTTATACCTTTCCACATTACCTTTAGAATCCCGTTTGGTCTTAAACATCCACTTGCAACCAATGGGTTTCATACCTTCTAGTAATGGGACAAGTTCCCAAACCTTATTGTCTTGCATGGACTTATATTCCTCCTTCATTGCTTCAATCCACTTTTGAGAGTTAGAACCTTGCATAGCTTGACGGAAGTTAACTGGGTCATCTTCCATTATATCACTATTTTCTTCATGAGAAATACCATGTAATCATCCGAAATAACACTTCTTCTTTCTCTAGTGGATCTCCGCAAAGTTATTGGCTCATGATGCACAAGTTCTTGAGGATCTTGAGTTTGTTCTTCATGAACAACCAAATCATCTTGAGTAAGGGGTTCATTAAGAATGCCTTGTGGAGGTT